CAAAGGCCTGAAACTCCTGCTTAGAACTACAGAAAGGAGTGGAAACTCACCCTTGGATCATATCCAGTTTTCTGCCATCAGAAAACCCGTATTCAATCCCCTCTGTGTAGGAGAAACAGATGACATAAAGAAACAAAATTTTCCTTTTGTCTACTTTCTAATTTATTATGTCTGAGAGAGTTTTTGTAGAAAAGTTATTTTTGGTGGATTTCTGGTGGGCCCTCACATCTCAATCACCTGTGAAACCAACTTCCCGATATTTTAAGTTAGGATAATAAAAAGTTAAGCATAGTGTACTCTAAACCTAAATTATAAATTATCTATTGTCAGAAAAAAAATCTTTCTAAGGGATTCATTTCTGTGACTGGGCTCCTAAGAGTTAATATATAATCATGGAAGAAAAAAAAAGTCTCAGAGGGATAAAAAGATAGTAAAGTCTTCAAATAAATAAATAATGGTACTATTTTGCAATTTCAAACATCTTGAACATGTTTGATTAATAACACATTAAAATACACATTTCATCCTCTTGGGATACAAAAAACAGAAAATTCAAGATTGGGAAGAAGTATTTATTCTATCAGCAGGTGTCGTTTGCAAAGTTTATCAGTTTTCATTTAGGAAGGATTATATGCCAAAAAGAAATCTTTGCAAAACAATACAATGAAGCGAAAATCCAAGTCTCAATAGATGTATATGAAAGCAGAAATAGTGAATAACTCACTTTTTCAGTTACGAGAAAATTAGGAGGAAAAAAAAAGCAATTATGTTCTATGATAAATGAGCCCTTCTTAGTCGAAAAATCAGAATATTTTCCTGTTTCCTGTACTCGATTTGGGCATTTTCTGTCCTTCGCTCCAAGCCATTTCTTTCATCTTGCAAATACAAGAAAATTAGAATTGTACGACTGAGGACACAGGAGGAACTTAATTTTAAAAGAAGTTAACTACAACGGTGCCTTATTTCAGTACTTTGATATAAAATTGCCAAGATACTGAGCTTGAAAAAAATGTGACATTGTTATCACTCAAAATTAAGCTCATCTGGGGGAGAAAACATGTTTTGAATGACTCCCCGATGTAAATGTACTAAAGCCAGCGTACACCTCTGATCTGATTCAGTGGGCGTTCTCGGTCCCTGCATCAAGAAACCACGGTGAGAGCCAAGAAGTAGAACCATTTTGTCATAGCCTGCATTTATTTAAGCACACCAGACGTGTAGAGAGAGGAAATTAATGTGTTATGTTTTACAAATACAGAAAGAAGACACAGAATGTTCAGACCCTGAAGAGAGTGCATTTGAGGACACAGTTCTATCATAGAAGACCATTTACAGGGATCACATTAAAACCATGGCCGACACACCCGTCTTTCATTCGTATTTTGACATCCTTCAAGTAGGTGCAATAGCTAAATCAGCAATTTGCTTTTAAACAAATATAAACACTAATGATCATGGTAGCCTTGAAGGGTTTGTGAGTGACTATACTATACATACGTGATCCTAGGCTCACTCTATGATTTCAGTGCTGTTGTACGCTGTGCAGAGGGAAATGTCTTATCACACGTTGGCTGTGACATCCACTAAAATGTGAACTAGTTTGCATAGGTTAGTCCTTTGGGCAGCGCGATGTTGCTCTAGTCCACCAAGGCTTAAAGATTCACAGTGTAGAGGAAAGAACATGAATTAAAGCATGTCTACTAAAATATATTTTAATAGCTGGTGTTGACAATTTGCATAACAAAAGCCAAATTATATTAATAACATTGTATCCGTTCTGTAAGCTCCCTCATTTACAAATCGTCAGCTGTTTCCTCCAAAACTGTTAATGCATTCACAATTAGGACAGCCTCAATCATCAGCCACAATTCTATTTGTCGAAGCAAATAGATGCCAAACTGCACAATGGTTCAATGTTGCATTTTTATCACAGGTCAAAGATCCACAGTTCCATATTGTACCTCTCAGAGGCTCGGCGCTGCTTCCACCAATGCTCAGTAATTCATGGTGTGGACACTGAAGAATGGAACTAGAATGCAGTTTTCTCTCTTCCTTTAAAAGAAATAATCCCTAACAGCAAGTAGATTACAAAGAAATCTATACTATGCAAACTGGATACCACATATCAAACAGAAAAAGCCTATGGAATTCCCATGAATATACTGAAGTAATATGGACACCTGGGGGAGATTTGCCTGGGTATTCTTCCAGGCTATGGAGTTCAGTAGTCTAAGCATCATGGAAAGATGACCACGGAAGCATCATACAATGCCTTGACATTTTCAATCATCAATAGTTGACAGACAGTTGCCTAGCAACGATCCTAAAGGGCATGGAATACTTCAGAAAGAGACTTCTATTTTAGCATCCTTAAGGTGTTTACATAGCTTCCCACTTCACTAAAGCTCACCCACCTCTGTGTGGCATCACCCCAAACAACCACAAGCCAGCCACTGTTAGATTATCTGAAGCAAATAGCTATGTCTAATAAACGTAGAGAGTGACATTCATCTTGGGGAGTGAATTTAGCCTCATGATATAATTATTCTTTCTTACAACAGGTACCAAACCTGAAATTAATGCTTATACATCTCAACATATATATATATATAATCCACAAAGAACCTTTCAGAAATAGACAGAAGTCAGCATTTTCTAAAGTTCTAACCCTTCACAGATAAATTACAATCAGCTACCACCTTTTATACCTGGGTCAGGACCATCCCCACTTCTCACCATAAAAAATATCCCTCATAAAAATATTACTATAGAATAGGCAGAAACTTGCTTTCTTGGTTTTCTTTCCAAGACCATAATGGACAAACCAGGGTTATCAAAAAAGGCACCTATTTTTTTTTGTATATATCTCCATTATAATTTTGGTATAAACTTCATCTGCTTTATATAGGGATACGTTATATTAAAGATTGCACACGTTTTCTTTACCTTTTCTTTAAAAAGATTCCACTGGAGAGGGATGAACCTGAAAATGAGGGGCATCTCTTGAATTTCCAGTATCTGTTTTAGAAAAGTCTTCTTCCTAACTCCCAGCGTGTTATAAAACTCAGCCCAGGAAGGATAAGGAGAGAAAGACGGGTAAGTCTGGCAAAACCATATCTCCATCCTCTTCAAGCAATGTACCTAGAGGCCAGAGAGGGGCTGGTCTAATCTCATCCTCATTTCCATAAGGTGTTTGTGGAAACTGTGCTTACAAATTCCCATGTGGTTGATGGGAGTCGGGAAGGCCTGGGGCGATGTAGGGCCTCCACAGAGGTCTGACTGCAGATGAACATTTCAAACAGTACTACTCTGCGGGTGCGTAAACAGGCAGACATGAAGAATTCATCTCGCCATAGGATAGAAATAGAAAGATTTCTAGAAGAACAAGAATTATTAGTACAAACATATCCTACAAAAGCTTACAACCACAGTCATAGATCCTGCCATTACGCTTTACTCAAGAGAGAGATGATCCATGTCCAGTTTTGTTTTGGGAACCTTTTAAAAGTGTTAAGCAAACTGCTCCTTGCGCTTTGGTTGAGCTTGATTGAGGACACATTGAAATCGAGAAAAGCGGGTGCATGTTCTCTGTGCTTGGGCATTTACACAGTCATCTTTTGTTTGATATTTAAGACTTGTTTTTAAACTTTTCTTTAGCTGTGAGCATTACTTGTCATCAAATTCAAGGTGGGAAAAAGGCATGTGGAAAGTGGAAAAGTTGTTCGAAATTGTAATATTTTAACTGATGCTATAAAAAGATAGCACTTTGGTATTATGTATGTCTTTAGCAGTCTCTTTCTGCTGAGACTCCCTATCCTGACAAGCTCCAGTAATGACTGCCAACACTATCAAATTATGACCCCAGGAGCATGCAGTGACTTGTTCTGCCTCAGTCTTCATTGCAAAATAACTACCCTCTCATGAAACTCTGAGCAGATCTTAATTCCTAAAGGATTGAAGCAGAAACAGATTGCTATGCCAACGTAAGTGAAGCATAGAATTTTTGGAAATTGAGTCCCCAAATATAGATTGACTTTTACATTTGATGAGTCTGATTTGGAAATCAGTGAATGAGTAAACCAAGAAACATCAAGCTGTTACTTTATGGTAACTTCCCTGATTACAGATACTATTACAAGTCAGTTTCCTTTGTACTTCTCATAAATGTGCTATTAAACAAGAAATTATACTGGCCCTACGTTTACTCGGAAAATTTAATCAACAACTGCCCGCCCTTGTAATCACAAAAAGTAGCCTGCCTGGGTGCGATGTTAATTACATCTTAAATATAATAAAATTGAGCAAGTGTATTTCATCCAGTTTAAATATACAGATTTTTGCAAAAAAATTGTAAGTTTAGTTTGTCTAGGTTTGTATACAAGACATCGAAACAGAGATGGAGTTAATCAGTTTATTATGACTAGCCATTTCAATGAGAGAAAAATCAGTCAAGCTAGTTATTTGGTAATCTGTAAACCCTCCTCGAAAAAATCTCAGGTTGTGTGGTTGGATTTTTCTCTTTGCCATTTTCTGTCGGTGTCACCTAGATACGGCTTTAGTGTAATAAGGCTTATTTGCTCTTTTAGCCTAATAAATAAAACTACAGATTCTCATTTGTGGAGAGTTCCAAGTTTTCCAAAGTGCGTGCCAACTTTTCAAAGGTGTAAATGAATCAGCTATGGCCTTTGGACAAGTAAACATTTCAAGAAAAAATGCTGGACAGGATGTGTTGCTAATTTCTTTGACTATACCACCCAAGGTGGATATCCCCAAGATGCAGGCATTTTAATACATTTTTGTAACTTTGCTTTTTCAGTTTATCCCAACTATCAAGTCAGACCCTTGTGTGAATGCTACCCTGTTGCAGGTCACAATAAAGGACACGATCAGAAAAATGCAGAATTGTCTTTGGGCAGCAATGTCTTGATGACCTTGACTTCAAGCTGCAGATGAAATTTTAAGCCCTACCAGCAAATTTTAAGCCACTCGTGGCTGGGACTCTAGCCTAAGCCTGCCAAGTCACTCCTTTGAAAAATCAAAACATGATGGTTTCGTAGTGAACAGCCTGTTGGTCCAGTACTAAAAATCTCTCATACCTTCGTATCTTGCTGCCTAGAGGTGATTTAGAAAAATAAAGTCAGAGAGTGGAAGGGAAGTCTTTTCGATTAACCAGGGTCAGTGGTAGATTTCCATTCCAGAATCTGAACACCATCTGCCAACAGAAGACACCAGACCATCCCCATGTGGAGTCGGTAGCTTTCCTTTGTTGAAACTGGGTTTCCCCCTTATTACGCCCCATAGTCCACTCTTTCACTGGCTCCTGTAAATTTTCTTTACGTTGAAATCAATGGTGGCATTACGTTAACGAAAGCTGTTCAGTAAACACCTAAATCACTTATTGGCTAGAGTATATGTGTATATCCTAAGGTGTAAATCCTTCAGAACTAGAGTGCAATGCAGCAGGAAAACCTCAAGCAGATTTTCAAAACAGATGTTTCTGAGGAGCTGGCCGCTAGAGGAAAGGGCTTTTAGGGATGTCACCCTTTTTTGCTTTAATAACAGGAGTGGGCAGTGCAGCTGCCTATGATACAGAAGCCTAAAAATACATGACATGCAATAGGGCAAAGGCTATTGGGGAAATTATAGAGATGACATTAACATTTGCCTTCTGCAGAGGAGCAGTGAAGATGTTCGGTCCTGGCATTCTATGGAAATGAGCATCTACTTGGACTCATAGAATGTAAATAAATGGAGAGTAGGAGAGGCCTTGGGACAAATGGGAAATAAATAGACCCCAACTGGCCTGAGGAACAAGAAAGTTTTCTCTGTTTGGCAGAAGTTTCTACATCCCTAAGGCCACCGGTCAGTATAATGTTAACCAGACTGTCATTCTGCCACTGTTTATGTTTATTACGTTGGGCAATTTTCACTTGAATTGGACATTTTCTAATGACTCAAAAGACTAAACAGGTTTTAAATCATTGGCTGTGTTACTGAGTTAAGAGAGTAGGTTTCTGGTGATTCCAAAGTTGACAAATAGGAAATTTCATATACTCATCACATTTAAAGGACAATCAACGTCTCTATTAAAGTCTACAAAAATACATTTTCCCAGAAGGGTTCAATCGCCAATCAAAGGAAACCACGAACACAATTAGCAGCACCAGGTCTCCAGACGTTAATGACTTTTGTTTACAGGAATTACTGAAAATGCTGCTGTTTTCAGCCCAGAAGTCATTCCTTCTCCCTGGTACACCTGTGTGTCTAATTGTCAAAGTAAGGATACATTATTGTAAAATAACTGCCAAGTTGTCTTAAAAGTATTTTCTATCTTTTAAAAAGATTCAGTGTAGAATACATTAGAATAAAGCTCAAAGGGCAAGGAGAAGTGCTTAATTAACAAACTCAATGTAATTGGCTGGGAGCATCCCCGTCCTCCCAGTTCTCTGCACCGTGCCGTACATCCAGCCGTCGTCGATGGGCTGCACGTTGACAATGTAGTCGCCATCTCGGAACGAGACCTCATCTTCATCCTGAGCACTGTAATCGTACATGGCTCGGTAGGTCCTCTGAGAAAGGAAGACGGGTGATACGATGAATACCAAGATGGTCACAGCCACAAATTCCACCCACACATAAGGAACTATTAGGAATGTTCTCAAGTGCATCTATTTCTGGAAATCTTTCAACCCAGCCTAGTATCCACTTGGGTTGACCTCAAGTTTACTTGTCTAGCAAAAGAGGGGGAAGGAGGGTGGCACCTGTGGCTCAAAGGAGTAGGGCGCCAACCCCATATACTGGAGGTGGTGGGTTCATGCCTGCCACAGCCAAAAAAAAAAAAAGAAAAAAGAGGGGGAAGGGACAAGAATGGGGACATATAAAGCCACTAAGTACAACAGCTGCCAATCAAATAAGGAGGTTTTGAAATGGGAAAAGCCAACTACCCCCAGATTCGAATCATCTAGAAACCTTAGATTAGGTGGGTCCTCCCTGACTGCACATATTTCAGAAAACAAAATCTGCCCTGGTGGCACACAGGTCCGTGTCTCCCCAGGCAGTCAACTTTTCTTAAATAACTACTAAGCATTTTTTTTCTCTTTAAAAATATGTAAAATGAAAGAAAAAAAAATCTCGATACACTGACTTTATAGGTTTTTGTATTGTTCCAAGAGAAATTTAGCATATGAGTGCTCTAAATATTGAGGCACATATAACTCTATTCTAATGAGGAAAAGTTAAATAGAGTTTTCTTATATAGTAGAACCCTCCTTACACTGACCACCTCCTTAACGTGACCCAATTTTCATAGACTGGACACACACCACATGTACATATCAGAACAGCAGGCCTAGTTCCTTATGTTGAATCCCTATGTTGGCCAGTTTGTTACAGTCCCTTGGGTGGTCAACTTACCCAGGTTCGACTACATTTGTTTTATTTAAGGCTAAGCATTTCACTAATATTAATATCAGATAATCTCAGAGGTAAGCAAATTTATAGACTGAGGAAATTTGCTGGGACTCAAAAAACTTGAGAACAATGCAAATTACCTGACAGCTTAGAAGAGCTCAGGCAAAGGACCTCAGAGAAGTAATTTCAGCTTGAGAAACAACGTGTAGCTGAATGAGCTCCAACACTGCCTTTAAATTTTACACTGAATGAATGAACCAATACTTCAAGGTTCCAAATAGGGCAATTTGAAGACATACTTGACTTTTGTGGGCATTTTGATTAATATTAATATTAACTTGTTAAAATGACCCTCAAAATATCTGTGCTCTTTAGGCTTGAATAAAAATCTTAATGGGCTAATATCCCTCATGAAGTAACAACTGGGATATTGTACTGGGCTATTGTTTTATAGAACACTTATTAATGCCTACCTTTCTCACTGGTGTGCCTCTGTAAGTAGTTTGCTTCCTTCAAAAGAGCTGCATAAGTGGCAAAATGTCTCCATTTATCTTTATATAAAAATGTCCAGTATTCTAACCCTAACCCTATTCACGTCAACTCTAATCCATGTGCATTGGTACGTCCGAGGGAAACTGGGAAGACCAGAGAGGGAGGAACACCCCCGTCGACACTTACTAGACTTGGTGAATGCTGCATTGACCGCGTGGAGGACACACTGGTCTGGTGCATGTACCCGTAGCCTTGTGGGTGGCTTTGCTGATAGGCTCCAGGAAGCACGGGTGCTGCATGGTAAACACACATACACAAAGATTCCTTAAAGTCAGCCTCAAATCACCCCACCCGAGCCCTGACGGTGACTCCATGCTCTGCTACAAGCTTCTGAAACAAAATGCCATTCTAAGCATCAAGTGAAATTCGGGTAGCAGGGTTACAAGCAACCTTCAGATTAATCTCAGTAATGAAGGGTGCATACAGAAAATCAATTTAGCATGCAGTTAAAGTACAGTGTGAATAGTTTTATTACTATAGTACACATGCTATGTTAAAGTCACAAGCACAAAATAAAAATTCCCCATGACCCCTTAGGTAAGCCACGTTTTCATTTGATCATGGGATCCGTCTAGGCATTTTTCTAAAATAAAAATAAGAATTTTTAAAAAGTTGAATTGGATGACCAAACCGATGACAGAGCATAAGTATTTACACAGGCTTCTTATCATAGAAGGGACACTTTCGATATTTGAAAACATATAGCTCAATATGACTTTTACCTAGATAGTAAATATACCATATGTTTGGCAATGTATTTTTTAATCAGCAGTTAATAAAAAGTCTATACCCTTTAATGCATTTTTACTTAGAATACATGAATTTGTCATTTTATTTTGGCTACCTGTCAAGACTAAGTAAGTCACTTAAGTCTATTACAAAAGCCTGAGATACCAAACCACTTGAGTTTTAAGTACATTATCCTTCTCCATTTAAAAACAGTATTGAAATACTATTTACACAATTTATACTGTCCTCAGCACTGACAATGACATTCAAAAGGCACAGTTCCTGTTTAGGGCTTTGGTCTGGGCCAGGGCTTCTTGAGTAACAACTCTCAAAGCACAGCTGACCAAAGCAAGATTGGACACCTGGGATCACGTCAAGCTAAAAGGCTTCTGCACAGCAAAGGAAACAATCAACAACATAAAGAAACAATCCACAGAATGGGAGAAAATATTTGCAAACTACCCATCTGACAAGAGATTAGTAACAGGAATAGGAGAGGGAAAAAAGTCAAATAATCCAGTCAGAAAGGGGGCAAAGGATCTGAGTAGACGTTTTGCAAGAGAAGACATCTCAATAGGAAAAATCAAATAATCCAAAGGAAAAAAATCAATAGGAAAAAATCAAATAATCCAATTGAAAAAGAGGCAAAGGATCTGAGTAGATGTTTCTCAAAAGAAGACATAAATGGCCTGTAGGGATATAAAACAATCCTTCACTCACCAGTCAGCAGAAAAAATGCAAATCAAAATACAACACGATATCACCTTACCTCTGTTAAGGTGGCTTATCTCCAAAAGATAGGTAATAACGAATGCTGGCAAGGATGTGGAGAAAGGGGAACCTTCAAACACTGCTGGTGGGAAGGTAAATTAACATAGCCACTCTGGAGAACAGTGAGGGGGTTTCTCTAAAATAGAACTACCACATGACCCAGCAATCTCACCACCAGGTATATATCCAAAAGAAAGGAATACATTATACTGAAAAGATACGTGTATCTATGCCCCCACGTTCTCTGCAGCACTATTCACAACAGCCAGAATTTGGAATCACCCTCAGGGTCCATCAGTGCATGAATGGATAAAGAAATTGTGGTACCCAATGGAATGTTACATGTGATAGATACAGCCATAAAAAAATGAAATCTTGCCATTTGCAATGGCATGGATGGAAGTGGAGAACATTATATTAAGTGAAATAAGCCAGGCATAGAAAGACGAATCTCACATGTTCTCACTCACATGTGGGAACTAATTATTAAAAACTATTGATTTCATGGAGACAGTGACTAGAAGAATGGTTACCAGTGGCTGGGAAGTGCAGCAAGAACGGGGAGTAAAGTGGAATGGTCAATGGGTACAAAAAGATAAATAGTTAGATACAATGAACAGTATTTAATAGCACAATGAAGTGTCACTTGTAGAATCAACAGTAAGTTAGGGTTTACTTTAAAATAACTCAAAGAGTGAGGTGATAGATACCCCTATTACCCTGACTTGTTTAATTCACCTGACTTGTTTAACTCACAGATATGACTGTATCAAAATACCACATGGACCCTATAAATATATACAGCTAGTATTTGCCCATAATAACTACAAATTGAAGGCATAGTTCCTGTTTTAAAGAACTCTGAATTTTAAAGAAACCAACAGAGAAGTTAGAAAAAAATCCCACGAAATCAGTAGATATATAAACGTGTGTGTGTTTCTGTATGTTTAAGAGTTTGTAACCAGAAGCACGGGATATAAACGAGGGTATTTTAGTAGCAGACTTTTCATTATGGTTTGAATAACTGTATGATACAGCAGTCAAAATTGTTATATGTGCTATAAAATCCATAAGAGTTTGCCATTTTTGTTTAATTAGTTTGAGTATATAAAATATTTATAATGAGTTGATTTATTCAAGATACTTGTTATAATAAAAGGAATCAGAAGATATAATTCTCAGGTGTCATGAATAATTAATATTTTATAAGTAACAAATTCACTCTAATGATATGAGATCACCAATACTTTAAAGAATTTTAATCATGAGAAAATTATGAATCATTTAATGTGTTCTCCCGATGATAACTGCTTTAGAATGAATGGGGATTTCTGAATGAATTCTCTTAGAATGAATTTCTCTTACAACGTTGTTACAAACTGTCCAGATCTGGCATCTGCCAGGATCTTGACTTGAATTGTATAATAGCATCATGTAAAGTTATTAAAACATTAAACATTAAATACTTCAGAAAACCTCCCTCTTTACCACTGAGCAACTCAATTTAAATATTTACTGTCAAGAGATGTCAAGGATATCATCAGAAACTATTTACAAAAAAAAAAAAAAAATAACGAAATGCCTGAAGCTATCTAGGCCTGATAAATTAGCTGAGTAACAGAGGCTTTTCTAGTTATTGAAATCTGGAAGCATTGGCCATTTATTCCCTCCCTCAGTCCTCCGCAAATATTTATTAGTTAATGTGTGCACAAAGCTTGCTGCACTTCCTGTCACATAGTAAGCCTCCATAAATCCTAATAATTATCCCCGTCTACTATATCCAAGCCATGCCAGGAATAAGAGAAATGATAAAAAAAAATTGTCCTCTTGGAGCAGTGATGGCCCTGGGCACCTGGCACTTCACTCAATTAAGAAAATGGCTCTGGCTACTCAGGGCATTCCCGACTAAAAAAATTAAGTCAATGATTCAGACTGGCAGTCTTGAACTGGTTTTTAACCATTTAAACGAGTCATGGTTGCCTTAATTATTTCTTCAATCTACTTGTTAAGTGTCAAAGATTAAATATAAACCTCTATAAGTTTTTTAAAAATTCAATTCGAATCTATGGTTATACGATTTTTACCTATGAACTATCATTTTTGATGGACAGAGTTCAGTGCAACCTCCTTAAAATATTTTGGGAAAACTCACAGGAAAGAACAATGAAAAAAAGTTTTCAAAATAGGCTCTCTCCTACTGTGTCATCAATGTAGTTCATACATCATAACCTCGGTGTAGAGCCTAAAAATACTGGCAAGTCAGGAACATACCTTAACAGTCTCTCACTGGGACGTTCAAAATTTAGGTATGCTTATGCCTACTAAATTGTTCCCGGCTGACTTTCAAAGGAGATCTATGCTACTATCAAATACAGTGAAGAAAGAAAGTGACGTCTTAGTTCTGTGTGTGGGTTAAGAGCACAGAATAAAGTTTGGAATGAGAAACTTTGGATAAATATAATCCATCTAGCTGGTATTATTTCTCTTCATGCCTTTATTGATGATTCCCATTTCACTCTCTGGCTGAATTACTTCATGAAAAGTTCCTTGGAGCTGATAACCCTTGTTAGCTCTCCTATACTAGGGGCAATAGAAGAGTTTGGGGGAAGCTCCTGTTAGTGTTATGAAAAACATCACCAAGGGCCTAGAGGAATCAACTTTGTAATACAAGAAAATGCCAACTTTCAAGGAGAGATGGACATTGCTTTTCTATTGTTAAGGAACATGAATGCTTTCCTGGAAACTTAAGTAAAACAAGCCAAAGGAAGTTTAAGGTGATGGCTTTGGAAATTGGATTTATGGATAATCTGGCTGAGAAATCACCATTCCATAGATGAGATTTCTTCTGTGAAAATAGGGAATCCATGAGCATTTTGGAAAAGCAAGCTGTCAGGCTAATTTTGCAACAAACAAGAACTGCTTACCAAAGAGGAAAAACACACTGTGCCTTCTTTATTAAACTTGTGGTCAAAAAAAAAAAAAACAAACCAACCAACCTTGTGATCAGGTAGCATTAGCACTGGGACAGGTGGATGTTAAAGGTAGGATGGTTTTTCAACCAGAGTCTTGAGATTGAGAAGTTTTTATTTCACTAGTGTTAAAGCAACAGATGATAGCTTTAGTTACCCCAGGATGACAACGCAGAGTGTGATTCAGCTTCCAGTGGACATCGGGGAGATGTATTAACTAAAGATCTGAAAGCCAACTAAAGTGCCTCAGCCTTTCAGCCTCTACTCGGAACATCCTACGATATTTACCAAACCAAACTTGCACTACACGGTAAAGTTCTTCCACAAACAGCCCATACAGTCTTCTTCTATTGAAGGTTTACTCTTAAAAAAGAAGATAAAACCAAGATAAAGAAATGAGCAGACACAGACATCATAAAACAGAAGATGAAAAGGAAAGAAGTGAACAGTTTTAAGAGCCGTAACAAATCTGTGAAACTGGACAGAGGAGGAGACAGATGTAAACATAGAAAGATCAGAGTACATGCACGAAAGAAATACATACCCACGATAAAAGGAGAAAAGTCCCCCAAACAAGGGCTCAACTACAACTTGGACTTTACCTAACAAACGCAAACAACGGAACCTAATCACCTGTGCCCTCAAGTTAACTGAAATAAGAGATAATAATGAAGGACAGCGCCTCTGGCTCAAGGAGTAGGGCAGCAGCCCCATATACTGGGGTTGGCCGGTTCAAGCCCAGGCCCTGGCCAAAACTGCAAAAA